GCTATTGGGTGGGAAACAGTCGCTATTGGGTTGGAGGCCATCGCTATGAGTTTCTATTTTTTCTCTCCTGCTGAACATCGACCGGAGGTGTGAAGTCCACCGGATGTGTCCCAAATCGTGCCACCCGATCGCCAGGGCACGGCTGCTCTTGTCTTGTTCTGCCACGGCAGGGCCCAGTTCGGTGCAAGCGATGTAGAGGAACAATCCACCAGCTGAGCGCAGGTGACATCGGGATTCGATCTGAAGCGGATCAACCGGAATCAACCGGGTTGCACAACAGTATGGAGATTTCGAGTTGCGGGCCTCATTCGGATGTGACACTTTCTCAAAAACCATGGTCTTTTTTGGGGCTTCCGCACCTCCCAAGGCAAGAACGGAACAAGACCTTTCTGGTCGGTTTGGAGCAGCACGCTTTTCGAGTCGAGGGACAATTGTTTAAAGCACGAATGTTGACAAGTCGTGATGGGTGCCATGGACCCTGCCGTCTGTGTTTGCTTCGTCACCCTGGTCTGTGTTGCGATTACTGATGTTTAAAGCCATGCAAGTGAATCAACCGGACCGTTCCGTCAGTGACGCCCGCCGCACCTATGGCGAGGCAAGCACCTTGCGCTTCATTGCCCAGATCGAGATAAAAGGCCACCACGGCGCCCAAAACACTGGAGAGTCCCGTGAGAAAGTTCAAGAACGTCGCGGTGGACCAGCGCAGATTCGCCTGCCGGATCTTGTTTCAGGTCTTCCGAAACAGTGGTGGCAGGTCTAGACAATACCTGTCACTGTTCGGCTGACATATTGCGACCCTATCTGCGTGGAAAGATGGACCGCTCACGCTTGAGTGTGTTCGATCCACGAAATCGTTCGACCCAGTCGAAGTCACGAAGCGTCACTTGTTCGAAACGTGACACCGTCAGAGAAGACCACTGGTCACCTGTCGGAAGGGACGAGTGAGAACACGAGAACGAGCGCCTTTGGACTAGAAGCGATAGTAGCGGCCTCCACCCTAGTAGCGAGCGAGCACGTTTGGAGCGCCTTGTTCACCAACACGTAGAAGTCGGCCAACGTGAGGTGACTGCGCGTCAGCGGAGCGGCGTCTCTTCGGTTCGGGGCCGCACCGGGTCGAGGTGTTTAGCACGGGCTCGAACGAACGTCTCGCATGGACGTGAATGTCTCTCTTTTGGAACTCAGGCCAGACCGCAATAGGTTGCCATTGCGATGCCAGTGAGCTGCCGCTCCAAGAGCATGCCTGTGCTGCAAATCTTTAAAAGCCAGCCTCCCGGCATTCTTTGGCCGAGAAACCGGCATCTCTACAGTCTTCGGCCGAGTAGCCAGCGTATCGGCATTCTTTGGCGGAGAAGCCATGGTTCTTCATCCAGCTAGCAGGAGCTCCATCCTCCTTGAAATCTTTTGCAGGGAAACCGGCCTCCTGCGTCTCCTCAGGGGAGAAGCCCGCCCCTCGGACCTCTTTGAACGAAAAAACCGGCCTCCTTGCACTCTTTGGCTGAGAAGCCTGCAGTTCTGCACGCTTCTGCCGAAAAGTTGGCCTCTTTGTAATCCTGTGCAGTGGGATCACGATTCCACTCTTGCTTGGGGAAGCCTGCCTCTTGGCAAGCCGTTGACTCGAACCCGGCAATCTTGCATTGAATTGCTGAAAAGCCTGCATCCTTTAAATCCTTCACAGGATACTCGGCATTTTTGCATTCCTGGGCCGAATATCCGGCCTCCTTGCATTGTTTTGCCGAGAAGCCATGATCCCTCAACCACTTTGCTGGCGCACCAGCATCTTTGAATTCATGAGCTGAGAACCCAGCCTTGGCCACATCCTCGTCGGAAAAGCCAACAAGATCTTGAAGAGAGAACCCACCCTCCTTGCATTCTTTGGCCGAGAAGCCTGCAATTTGGCACTGTTGGGCTGAGAGGCCTGCCTCTTTGTAGTCCTTTGCACTGGGATCGCGATTCCACTCTTCCATCAAAAAGCCTGCCTCTTGGCAAGCCTTGGCCTCAAACCCGGCAATCTTACATTGAACCGCTGAAAAACCAGCATCTTTTAAATCTCCCACAGAATACTCAGCTTCTTTGCATTCCTGGGCCGAATATCCAGCCTCCTTGCATTGTTTTGCTGAGAAGCCATGTTCCCTCATCAAGTTGGGAGGGGCACCAGCATTTTTGAATTCAGAAGCTGAGAACCCAGCACTGAACGCCTCCACTGCAGAGAACCCTGCCGATTGCAGGTCTTGAAGAGAAAAGCCCGCCTCCTTGCACTGTTTGGCTGAGAAGTGCGCATCCCTGCAGGTTTGCAACACCCCAGCATCTTTGAATTGGCCAGCTGAGAATCCAGCATCACGTGCTTGCTCCGGAGAGAAGTTGGCAGCCAGGATTTCTTTTAAAGAAAAACCTGCCTGCTTGCACTCCTTGGCTGAGAATCGTGCATCCCTGCACTCCGCGGCTGAGAAGCCTGCATCTCGATAATCGTGCGCTGTGGCATCGCGACTCCACTCCTGTGTAGTGTAGCCAGCCTTTTGGCAAGCACCAGCTTCAAAGCCAACAAGCTTGCATTGGACGGCTGAAAAGCCAGCGTTCCGAAACTCCTCGGCGGAAAAGTCCGCTTCTCGGCACTGTTTGGCCGAGAAACCAGCTTCCTTGCATTGTTTAGCTGAGAAGCCAGCTTCCTTGCACTCATGGATGGAAAAGTCAGCATCTTTGCAGTCACTGGGGGAGAAGCCTGCTTGTAGGCAATCGTTTGGAAAGAAACCCGCTGCCCGACACTTCTCCACTGAGAAGCTTGCAATCTCCTTGCACTGCTTGGCTGAGAAACCAGCCACTTTGCAATTCCCAGCCATGTGTCCAAGGTCGAACAGCCGTTTTGCAGAGATGCCTTGCTTCAAATACTGGGCGACGAGGCGGCCTCTGACCACCTCACACGCGTCCACCAGCCAATTCTCCCGCAATTGTTGGATCGGCCGAAACATCTCAGACTCCCCTACATTCAGCTGCTTCAACAAGTCACTGGACTGCGCACTCAAAATTTCTCTGACAACCGTGTCCACTCTGTCTGCATTGAGGGGCGACGCTTCCTTCAGAAGCCTTGCAAACAATCCTTCCATTGCGTCAGGCTCTATGAGACCCTCCAAGCCTGTCATCACTGCAGCTGAGCGGTGAGACAAGATGAACCTTTGTGAGCCTGGGATCAAGAGTCCTTTGGAAATGCTGATAATGGCTGAGATGCCCGCAAAGCCAATGCCTTTCGACCCTGCATATCTTAGCACAAGCACCACGCCAATGACTCCTTGTGGAATATCTTCGGCCCACGCGATCAGCAAGCGAGCTCTGCTCAGGAAGTCCACACATATATTACTAAGCCGTCTTCCCAACCACTGGCATAGGGTTTCTGACTTGGGGTTAATCGGTCGCAGCGGCAACTCCAAAATGGCCCTGTACGTCTTCCGAAGATCACGTGCACAGTCCTCATCGGAGTTGACTTGAATGTAAGAATACACCAACACATGGGCCGACACCACTGCCAAGAGACCTCCATCGGCCAGCCATAAAAAGGCCTCTTCTGAAAAACTGACTGCATGAGAATCGATTTGGGACAAATGGTCCGTAATGATCACAATGCAAATTGGGAGGCTGCAACATATACAGCCTGAAATTTGCCATGAAGTATCTTTTGCCACAATCGATGCCCAAACAACAGCTCCCGGAATCAATACCCAAAGGTGAACCCGGAGTGCAAGCAATGCTGAATAGAGTGCCTGATCTTGCAAGTTTGAGAAAAAGTGGAAGCAAACCTGAAGAACCTGGCGCCTTTGCCGGATTGCTGCGGAACCCGAAACATATCCGCCGACCCCATCCGGGCGAGCGCGTCAGAGAAGTTATGGACCGTGGTGGTGCACAGGGCAACGTTGGCACGCATCGCGGAGGGGAGGTCTTGGGCAGGAGAGCTGTCTTTGCGAAACATGATTGATCATTCGCAAGACAACTGTTTGCCTATTTTGTACAATGAACGTTTCCATGTCAATAGACGATTTCATGACCATTCCTTTCACTTCGTCTTCTCCCTGACCGAGACAAAGGCATGGCAGCACCTGCAAAGGGTTTCCTCGAAGAACGGCTGCCAATTTCAATAGTCCAACCATCATCATCATCATCATCATCATCTTTCTTTCCATACGCTCATCGAGTGATGATGGCGTGGATCCTGTTGATCCGCCTGGTCCCCGTAGGGACAACCAGCTCCAGCCTTCAGCTGAAGGTCATGTCAAGCAAACGAGCCAGGTTTGTCCTGGCTTGAGCCGGCTGGCTTCGTCTCAGGGCTATGTGCAAAATGCCAACCTGGCGAAGGCACGGACACGGGTGGTCCTCATTCAGCTCAGTGGTGTAGTAGGGCTGGCATGCACACCACCTGGTAGGATGAGCTCTCCCGCTGAAGGCTGCTCCACATTTCTCGGCCACCGGTTGGGATGCTTCCCAGAGTTCTCTGTGGGCCACTTCAAGGTGTGCATTCAGGCCACGTGGCCAGCCCTGGCACACGATGCATTTTTTCACCAGCCTGTGGCAAAGTCCTGGCAGAATGCCAGCATCCAACCCATCAATGGCCTGAAGCCACTTGTGATGCCAGTCGTCGTTGATGGAGATGTTGTCAAGCTTCTCCTCATCAGAGAGAATTGGCGATTCCTCAGTCAGCTTGGAGACTGGCTCCGCCCCCCCCGTGCGGCAAAAGGAGACAGCAGAGTTCTCCTGCACCACCTTGGGGATCTTCTCGAATTTCTCGGGCGGGGAGCCGTCGTCGAAGATCCACCAAAACCCTCCCTCGAGGACCGCGGTGCAATAGTGTCCACAAGTGGGCTCCGAGCCAAGATGATATGAGACTGCCGTGACCTCAAATGGAATGTGGTCAATGCCGAGCTGGGGGTTGAAGAAGAAGAAAGGCATCCATACCTTAGAGTCGCAGCTGAGTCGAGTTCTACTCTTCTTACCCCTCGAGTCGAAGCGGTCGATGTGGAGGCATGTGACATCTGCTGGTTCAGTCAAGCCATGAAGACCGAAGGATGCCAAGCTCCAGTTTGAGATCCCCTTGCAGATCAGTGGGCAGCAGTGCATTCTTTTGCTCACTGCAGATGTAAAGATGCAAGGGGCATCCCAGGGCACTCTGATCCACCACACGGATTTCCCCATCCTGTTCCAGCCGGGATTCCCAACAACAACTGAGTGAAGAAGGTAGTGTGCAAAATCAGTGACATCATGTTGTCTAAAAGGTTCCGGCCATGTGGACAAAAAGGTGGTCCATTGCCCATCAGCCCACAGAAGAAGTGGTTCGCCCCCTTGTGACACATCTGCAATGGTCTCAAAGACCCCCGGAAAGTTGGACCAGTGGTCCTCACTCAGGCCGTCTGCCCCTTTAGCGCTCCACACCAAACCAGTGACCACAGAGTTCATGTAGCATGCTGCTGCCGGATTCAAGAGTCCTGAGTGACTGAGTTGGTGCCGTAGTCCTTTCATCTCGGTGGAGTGTGGATTTGCCAGAGCCAAGGTGATCCGCCATGGAATCACTGCCGAGGGTTTGTCGGTATCCGTGGTCATGACCTTCTGAATTTGTTGTGAAGGTCTGAGAGCTCCGAACCTCTTGATCAGGTCCTCCTGTTGCAGGAGTGTAAGCATCCTGGTCAGGGTTTGCAGTGCCTGTTGGATGGTGAGCGGAGCCTCCTCTTGTGCTTCCATGGACTGCTTCTGGTGATCCCATTTCAATCATGGGAAAGACATAGTTGTTCTCCTGATCCGAGTCGACTCTCAGAAATCCCAGGCGTAGCAACGTTTGGATCAAGGGATCGGAGGAGACCGTGGATTGAAGTTTCTGTGTCCTCTTCAGCAGTTCTTCCAGCAGGGATTTCAGAACCAGGATCCTCAATGGGTGTGTCCTCTCGTTTTGAAGAGTCTGATGCCATGTTGTGGTCTGGGTCATCATGCTTGGGAGAATGGATCCTGGACCCGCGCTCAAAAAAACGAAGAAGTCCGTCTCCGTGGCCAGGCACTGTAGTGTGTCTTCGCGCCTTAGCACCAACCTGCTCAGAGCCTGCAGCAGGTTGTTTGTATTGGGCGTGGACTCGCCATTGGTGATCTGGCTCTTCCCCTGTCCTTTTCTTCCTTTTCCTTTTCCCTGGCTCTTCCCTCCATTCGACATGGTGGATCGGGGCCTCTTGGCACTCTGCTTCTCCTCGTCGACCTCCATCTTCTTGACCCAATGGTTCAGTGCACCCCACATCTCTGAGACTGGATTGGCTTCCATGTCCATGATGGAGGATGGCAAGCAAGGAGGCCAGTTGGAGTAGAATCGGGCACTGAGCTGCGGTGGGATGACATTTGCAAATTGAGCGCGTTTGCTGCTTCACTTGGTACATGGAGAGGTACTTGTAAAACAAACTGCCTCTATTGGCGTGTTTGGCATGTTGACTCCACAGGCGTTGAAGCATGTCACGTGGATCAATTCGCCTGCCGCGCAAGCAACACCAGGTGCTGAGGGCTGTGCAGAGGGTGTCATCCGCAGGGAGCTCTTCAAAGTGACCGGTGGTCAGCTGGCTGTCCAAATCTGGAAAGGAAAGTGAGATCGTTGGGCTCAGAACTTGAAGATCAAGCCGTAGAGCATGCGCCATGAAGAGATCATCACTGCCGTCCTGAAGCTTGGTCAAGTCATGATGCGCAAACAGGGCTAGTTGAGTGAAGACTGTGCAGACATGGGCCGTAGAGGGAGGTCGAAGACATGAGCAACCCAGATTCCTCAATGCACTGTCTGTCTCAAGCCATTCCGCATAGGTGGTGGCCTGTTGCCAACTCCAGTTGCGCTGACTCCCAAGGTGTTTAAGAAGTGAGGCGGAGCTCCCCGATTGATGCCCACAAAGTCCACAGATGTATCCAAGACGCCGAACCAAGGACTTGTAGGCCATGAGATGATCAAAGGTTCCACCGTGAAGACCTGAGATAATCAGTGGATGATGCCAAAGAAGTGGAGGATCATCTGAGGGAGGAACTGGGCAGTGGCCGCCATCAATGTGATGTCGAAGAGCTGCCAGGCTCAAGAACTGAGATGACAGTGTGCACATTGAGTTTGCCCTGGAGCTTGATCTCTGCCAGCAGCCAGGAGTCCATCACAGGTGTTCAAAAGGCCTGAACGTTTGTCTTTGCGTTGGTGGTCGGAGCCCGTCCCAGGGTGCTGATAGACCTCCCGCCAGAAGATTTTGTCCGGGGGGCAAAAGTCCTTCCTGATGATGGTCATGAGCCCACCTGCCCTGTCTTGTGAACCACTGTGTATATAGGCAAACGTGTTGTCCGACCAATCACCTGTGAATCCCCATCTAGTGTCCTGAAGAAGGAGAAGGTCAATCCGTTGGGTGTGCATTCCACTGCCGTAGGATGTCAAACTTGTAGGTGCTCAGGGAGCCAATGTTCCAGCTGAGTCCTTGGAGTCTGTTTTTCCTGATCTTGGCAGGAGGAGGAACGTTCAAAGCTCCCGAGGGGGCCGGTGGATCCTCCTGAGGTTGCCAGGGTAGTGGAGTTACTCCAAGCATCTGTGCTGTATAAAGCTTCCCTTTGTACCATGTGTGCCATGGAGCTGAGCCCTTTTGAGAGCACGTATGTAGGATTTCTTCTTGGGAATGCGCTGGTAAAATTCCAGACGTTGGTGTGTGGATCCAAGGCCACTTGGCTTTGCCGTTGAACTGTCCTGTTTGGCAAAGGTTGATGAGGCTTCACCGAACCGTGTGGCTGGTTCGGAACCCTCAGGCCACCAGGGCACGGCATGTGCATTCAGCTTGGTCACATAGTCCTCAAGGTAGTCGGCGGATAGTCCACCTAGAAGGAGGAGGAGAATGCCTGCCCTGGCTGGGGGCTCGGGGCCCCAGCTAGCTCGTGCTGTAGGTGCAAGGACCTGGAAGGAAGAGATGTTCTGGTATGTCTCAAAGTTCCGGAGGATAAACAGGTTAATCACCTGAAAACAGAGAACCGCAGCCAGGATGACCGTGCCACCCGCTGGGACAGTCTTGTGGTGAGGTTCTTGAAGTTGTCCTCGTGGAAGCCAGATGAAGTGCCGGTACAGGAGGTCCTCGTGGAGCAAGGTGGTCAAAAAGTCCACGTTGACCATGTGGCACGGGGTCCCGCACCAGCCCGTTCCAGTTGATGGAATGGGGCTTGAAGCTAGTGGCCCTTATCATCATCATCATCATCATCATCATCATCAACATCAACATCAACATCATCATCATCATCATCATCATCATCATCATCATCAGCAGCAGCAGCAGCAGCAGCATCAGCATCAGCATCATCATCATCAGCAGCAGCAACATCAACATCAACATCAACATCAACATCAACATCAACATCAACATCATCACCACTGTCATGATCACCACCATCCCCATCATCAGCGGCGTCAGCATTCTCATACAGCTGCAGAGATGCAGGTGATGGAACTGCTACATCACACCTACATAGATACAGCTGTTTGGATACAGGGGTGTAGGTACAGGTTATGAGTGTTTAGATACAGGTGTTTGGATACAGGTGTTGAGATACAGGTGAAGACGCTTCCGAGACCCACCTACAAAACTACAACTTCGACATCTTTCTAATCTTGGCTTGAGGCGGCGGGCTGGCCCGGCCGACGCTCATGAAACGCGACCTTGTCCCGAGACCATCGGTCGCGCGAAACTCTGGTACTACGCGAACCCTCGTGCGCTTGCTAAACCCTCTGCGGAGACGCATGTCGAGTGAGGTGAGCGCGGCTTTCTGCTGCCCCTGGCGAACCCTTGACGCGGGGGAATTTGCATTTCCCCATTTGTCTTGAAACTCCTCGTATTCAACAGGAAGGTGCTGATTTCCAGAAAGAATGTCGTCGTCAACCTTCAACCTAGGCCCTAGGGAAATGTCATTGCCAATGCCCTTCCCATTGACGAGATGTTCTTGGTTGATTGGAAACGAGATGTTCTTGGTTGCACTTGGATAATCTGCGAACCAGGTAATCTGCGAGCCTACGAACTATTGATGTTTGGGTCGGTTAATGTTTTCTATATAATGCGACTGGTTTAACGTTGTTATGGTTATATTTGTTGAATGTCATGTGTGGCAACGTGAGCTTTCTTTATAGGAAGGATTCGCACATGTTCATTCCATGTTCTTCGTTTGTTTGGAAATATAAGTCCTTGCGATGTAAAGCATGTTTGAGGCGTTTGGGTTTTCCGTCGGATTGGTATAGAGTATATATAGACTATAGACTATAGAGGTTTGATAGGACCACGTCCAACAGAGATGTCCTTGCTTTTCGCTGGGTTCAGCAGACTGTTTGGGTTGCATGTTTTCAAACAGAGATCATGATGCTCATGAGCTAAATCGGTCACGGATGCAGAAAGACATCCACCCCCCGACCCCATGTCCCATCCAACATCATCTTCGTTTGCAATTAACCTGCTGCGCAAATCTTCTGGGTGCACAAAACATCACAAAACCTGTAGGAGCAAGAGCGCTACTAGGAGCAAGGACGCTACCAACAATCTATTCTGCGGAGTTTGCGCTCTCCCTAGTGGCCCTGCTGGTGCTACAATGGAATTTTCAAAAATCGCACTCTCACCATCGCGTCACCATTGACCCCGTGAACAAAAACAAGGTATCAAGGTGGAAGTGACGAAAGTGTGCACCTGTCCTCAAAAGTTCATGGTGGAAGTTGCCAGACAGAATGTGCAACTGTCGCAAAACGAAGTAGCTTATGGGAGCTCTGGGCTCAGAATTAGCAAACACATTCCTACTAGCGTCCTTGCTCCTAGTAGCGATGCCAGGAGCCCCTAGTAGCGTCCTTGCTCCTAATTGCTTCGCGGAGCTCTGAACTCAGAACTGGCAGCTTCGAGCCAAGCGTCGAACTGGCGAAATGATGTCTGCTACATCTGCGACGTCGCTGGTCCGTGATTAAACGGAAGGGCGTGTAAAGGTTAGGGGGATGAATGGTGGGGTCAATGGGGCTTCATGGATGGTTGCATCATGTTGCATCTAGTCTGTGCCACATGGTGCGGCAAAATTAGGTTGGCGATGACGCTGTGCCATGCAGATTGTTGTGGCCTTGGCTGACATCAACTTCGTGGGATGACATGACTCTTCGTCACTGGTCTCTCTGACTACCTGGCTCCAGCCTGCACTATGAGATTAAAAAGATGGCAGGTATAACTTCCTCATCTTCATCATCATCTTCATCCTCATCATTCTCCTCCTCATCATCCTCATTCATTTTTCACAACACACTCTGCTTCTACTGTGCTTTCGGGCCACCCTGTCGTCTAGCGTGAGAGACGTGAAGTTCACAGCAAGGTTGCACATCTTTGCTCACATTCTTCACGCAGCCTTGGTCCTCCACAGCTTCTTGCGAAATCATTCCCAAGCAAAAGCCCACCACGGCCATGAACTAATTGATCTTCAATGTTACATGTTACAGGACGATCAGACTATCCACACCTACTCGGTTTTCGATGCCTGTCTAGGGTCGGCGGAACTTGGGCGGCAGTTTGCCCGAAAAATGCATGAGATCGTTTGCCGTCTTTGCCGCCGCGATGCGAACAGCAGCAAGAAAGAAAGAGAAATCACCTCACGCTTTCTGTGCAAACACTTGATGCGAAGCTCATCGAGCCCGACCATCGCTGCTCCAACGGCAAAGCCGATCCATGTCTTGGCATGGAGGATGCAAATCCCTGTGACTACCCAATCTTTCATGGTATCTGCCAGTTCACTGACTAATGGTGCTGTGAACATAAGCACGGAAGTGCAAGTCGATGCTGCCAAGGCATCGCTATCCTTGAAGCGAAGTGGGTCGAAACCACAATTTGAAATGGCTTCACGGCTTCAACACAAAAACAGGAACTATTCGTCTTCAAGTCTTACGTCCAAGCATCAAGCGTCGCACACCGAACAAGGTTTTGCATGAACAGCATCCACAAGCACAGATGTTGCCACAGCGCCCAAAGTTCCCATGCTAATCCGCCACCCTCACTTGAAAGCCAACCCCTCCAAATGGCAAGAGCCACTATGCCAGCACAAATGAGGTGGTAGAAGATGAGTGCAACTGTGAAACAACTGCTCGATCCTTTAAATGGATGATCTGTTTTTGTTGCGATCATCGGACTCTCCAAGTCCTCCGCCTGCTCTTCATTTTCTTCAAGTGATCTGTAGCTGATCTTGGGTGTCGACATACACATCTCTTTGGCAAAGCGAAAGGAAAGTCGCATTGCTTCGCAAGTGAAGGCCATCACAACTGGCGACAACCTGATTTGCTTAGAAGAAGCCTCTGAGTAAAACAAAAAAATGGGGCTATCAGGTTGTTGTGAGGCGGTCTGTATTTGTGTTGACCGTGGTTCTTGCCACAATGTTTGCTGATGGTTTCTGAGGCATTTCCAATTCCGAGTCAGTGACATACGACATCACACGACTATTCAAGCAGGCGGTGTCATTTCCAAGCAACAACAGGATGGCACCCCAGTAGTGAAACCGTGCTGAAGCTTCTTGGTCCTCGATCTCGGAGAGTACAGGGAGAAATCGGGGCGGAGGTGGTGCGAGGAGTGAGGGCAAGCATTCCATTCGGCATTGGAGGTCAGCGCCGCAAGTGTTCCTTTTTTGCACAAAGGATCACACGGAAAAGGCTCCCTTTTTGGACTGAGACACCTGACACCTGAATGATCTGAATGCCAAATGATGGTAAGAGGGGCCCTATTCTCCTGCAAGACCCATGTCCCATACTCAGGAGTACTCTTTAAGGTGCCATAAAGGTTGGAGGCCATTGTTGTTAATTACGGAGGTCATCACTATCAGGTTGGAGGCCATTGCTAATATAGGAGGGAGGTCGGCAAAAAAGCATCTTTGAGGTGCCAAGCTTCCACATCTTGGCAGTGAGCATCTCGACCATCCAGCTTAGGAATCCCACCACATTTGGCACAGGGATCCATGCCGAGGGGGTGAAACCGTTCGACGGCATTCGTTCAGCGAGAAAACCGACACCTTTTGGAGCCCTGTGTGAGATGCGACGATTCGAAGCCCATGAGCGAGCGGCCGATGGCTCTTGTGCTCGCGAAAAGCCTCATGGAGGCCCTAGCCATTGCTTATCAGGTTGGAGGGAGGTCGGCCAAAAATAGAAACCCTATCCGAAGAGTCACGAATTTTGAGCTCCGAACGCTTCGCGGCTTCGCAATCCCGAGAAAACCGGTGGCGCAACGTCTCCGCCCAGCAACTCTTGTGGCAGCTCGTGCGCAATCGTGGCTCCCACCATGGACCAGGCGAAAGAGGCGTCACAGGCATAGAAGGCAAAGCCCAAGAAGATCCCATCGGCGAAGTTGTGAATGAAATCCTGAGAGTAGCGAACATTGTTTCTAATAGCAAACATTGTTACTACTAGTAAGGCACTTGTTACTACTAGCTTCTTGCTCCTA